AAATATTAAAAAAAAAAAAAAAAAAATCAAACGGCTTTAATGTAAAAATCATACCTAGACTGCATGGTCACAATCTGTAATTCAGATGTTTAATTGGCACACTGTGAAGATGAAAGGCCCTATTCATTTTTGGCTTTGCCACTTCAGAATGTTATTACTGTCACACTTATCCAGTGAAACCTACCACCATGCTGTGTCATGCCATACATACATCACATGTCTTCCCCGTATATTTAGTTGCATATCTATATAAATTATGTGAGAGATGTTTATTTTCTTCTGTGTAATAAAAAAAAAAAAAAAAAGTTTTGCTCCAGATCAAAAGGCCATATGGATCAGCCTCCAGATCATACTGTCTCTTATTTGGTAGTATGATCTGGAAGTTAAAGGAATAAATCAAATCAAGAGTTCTGATGTTTTTGTTTGTTTGTTCGTGTGCTGTCGTTAACTCCATTAGTGACCCTGGCAAATTCTTCTAATTACACTGTTCTTCCATCTCCCTTTCTGTAAAATGTGGCAATGTGGATAGTGCTTCCCTGGTACTGAAAGTGCCTTTGGATCCTAGGATGGAAGGAAACATGTTTAAATTATTACTGGTTTTTATTTATTTTGATGTGCAGCTTTTAAGGATTTTATAACACTTCATGTAGTAAAATTTTTATAGCATAGTCTATAAAGGAAACATAGGTTAGGGCCCATGAGAGGTCACTGGAGTCCTCTTTTGTTAATTATTTGTTTAGGAGAGGAGCAAAACCATTGCTTTTTTTAAACAGAAACCTGTAAAGATTTTAATAACTTCCAAATATAAAAATACAAATGTTCAGTGTCTAAAATACACAGCAAGATCCAAAAAGTAAAACAGTATATGGTAGAAAGTGTGAACTGTAGTCCTTCTTAAAGATGGACATTTATTAAAATTGTGACACTTGTGAACCCATTAGCTTTATCTTTTTTTTTTTTTTTTAATGGTGTGAATAGTCTAGATCAGGGATGGGCAAAATGCGGCCTGCAGCTTGGACTTGGCACACCAGGCCATTCTATCCCGGGGGAGCTGGTGGCAGAACCAAGCCCTGGTGGCAAATCTGCACCCCCCCACCGCCACCCCCTAGCACCACCACCCAACCCAAGCCAGAAGCCTCTGCCTAGCAGGGACTTCTGTGGCGCAGGGGCTTCTGGCCTGGGGCTGTTCCTGCCTCCCTGCACCTAGGGAAATACAGATAAGGGGGAGGGAGGGAGGCAGGGGAGGACTGTGGATGATCGACCCAGTCCTCAGGGCCAGGCCTGACTGGCTCTTTCAGTCCCAGTGATGCATCTGGGAACCACGTGTTGCTGGAGCTGCCAGTACATGGGTGAGGAGGGGAGGAGTGGGGATATGGCTGTGGCAGGGTGGGGGAAGGGCAGTGAGCAAGCACAGACTGCAGCAACAGCTGGGCAGGAGTGTAGAGCCCTGTGCTCCTGCTGCCCTGTTCTTGGCCCCACCAGCACTGGCCCTGGGACACCAGTGCAGGCCCTGCACTTTCATCCGGCTGTCTCTGGCTCCTGCACACCCGCTCACTCCCAGTCCACCTCACCCCAGCCCCGTGGTACAGACAGGGCCCAGGCTGAGCAGCAGTGGCTCAGGGCAAACTGCTTATGGGAGAAAACTGGCCCCTCCTGCTGCTGGCGCTTCCTGGTGCAGCTGCCTGGAGCCCACACAGGGCTGTCCTGCATCTCCACCATGTCACCACTGCCTCTGGGCTGCCCCATGGAGCAGCGGTGGCAGTGGAGAGCAGGCATGGGCAACCCTGTGTGGGCTCTGAGCAGCTGCACCAGGGAAGGGGGCCCCTTTTTTTCCATGCTGAGCAGCAGTTTGTCCTGCACCACTGCTGCTCAGCCTGGGCCCCATGCCGGCTTCAGGTTCACCCGTTGTTGCTGAGCTACAGCAGTAGCTGGACAGAAACTGCTGCTTGGCATGGGGAAAGCACCTCCCCCACCCCAATGGTGCCAGGCAGCTTTAGCTGTGTCCGCCCAGAGCTTGTGCCTTGCTAGGCTGTGGTTCAGCTCCTTCACTGCCGTTGTGAGCTGCCTTGTGGCAGCTCCACACAGCCACTGCTGCTGCACTGGGCAGCACAGAGACAGCAGTGAAGGAGCTGCACCACAGCCTGGTGTGGTGCAGGCTCCAGGAGGATGCAGCTAAAACTGCCTGGTGGTGGCAAGAGAGCGGGCTGCTTTCCTCTGTGCTGAGCAGCAGTTTCTGCCTAGGAGCACGGGCTCTGGGCTGGCAGGGGCTGTTTAGAGCCGGGCTGTGCTGCTCAAGCAGGAAGAGGAGGAGCAAGCCTGGCTCCATAGACCCCTGCCACCCCACTCTGGGTCTTGCCAGCACTGGCCCTGGCGCACTGGTGCAGGCCCCGCGCTCCCACCCAGCTGTTGTTGCACTCTGTGCTCCCGCTTGCTGCTCCTGCCGCCTGCCTGCTGCAGCCATTTCCCCGCTTCCCCTCTTGCTTGCCCGCCGGTGGCTCTGGTTACCACTTGATGCCTGGCTACATCACTGGGACTGCAGAAGCAGCTGGGACATGGTGCTGGAATGGTTAAGGGGCTGGGGGATGCAGAAGTGGCAGGAGAAGGACAGTGATGGCAGACGGGGGAAGTGGCAGTGAACGGGAGAATGGGGCCCACTCCAGTGCCCCAGGGCCAGGAGCAGCAGAAGTGTGGAGCCCAGGCTTGCAGGAACGCTGGCGGGGGCTCTGTCTGCCGCGGGGTGGGGGCAGGTTTTGGGTAAACTCTCCCCCTCCACCCAAGTCACAACCCTCCCCAGCCACCCTTTCCCCCTGCAGACTCACAGCCCCCTGCAAAATCCACACCCCCCACACAGCCACACCCCCCATGCCTATTCACCCCCCACCAAAAACTACACAGACACCCACACCCCACATACCCACAAACCTATACCCAGCCTCCCACAATACACAAGAGTTAAGACTTCATTTTAAGCTATTATACTATCACCTCTATGTACACTACACAAACACATGTAAATCGGGACAAAACTATTTTTTGAAATGAGTTTGATTAATGTTGTAGTACATGTTTGATTTATTTTTTTTTAGAATATAATTTGGTATTTTTCTGGTTCCGAGAAGGCAAACCCTGTTGCTGAAAGCACTTCCAGGGGCCACGGCATGGGTGACTGGTGCCTCCTTAGTCGGGGCGGGGGGCATGTGCCCCTCCTGCAAACAGTCCCACTGACCGGAAGGGGGGGTCCCCTGCAGGTGATCCTGTGGTCCGGTGGCGCGGGAGGATCCCCGCGGGCAATCCTGCGGTCCTGGGGGGGTCCACTGCAGGCAATCCTGTGCTCGCTGCAGCCACTTCTAGGAGCAAGCGCCAGACGATTGCTGCAGCTGCTCCCAGAAGCAGCCGCAGTCGCTCCCAAAAGCAGCTGCAGCGAGCACAGTGTATGACCAGTGCTTGCGGGGGGGGCACTGGAGTTCCCGCCTGTCGCCCCTGCCCATTGCCTGAGTGGCAAGCACGGCTGTCAGGGGGTGCACCAGTGCTCTCAGCGGGTTCATGTGCACCCCCTACGTGTCGCCACTGGGCCAAAGGGAGGGACTTCTGGTGGCGGGGGTTAGGGGTCAGGACTTCTGATCCCAAGATGGCGACCAGGAGGCAGGGCACCCATCAAGGGGTGGGGCTATCCATGTGGCCCTCGATGACTTGCCAGAACTCAGTAAGTGGCCCTCCGCCCAAAATAATTCCCCATTCCCGGTCAGATAGTCAGCTTACTGATTGCCATTTCTAATATTGAAGAAGACAGGCCATTATTTACCCTTTCTGGCCTGTATTCCACCATAACTGGGCAGAACCCAAACAGCGTTTCCAGACCTTCCTTTTCTGCGTGGCACCAGCATCCTTTCAACCCCTCCTGTGTGGGCCTGGTGACAGACCAGCCAGGGGGCAAGTTTCTTTCTCAGCAAGCCTTTGTTTGGAGAGTTGCTTTTGAAAACCAAGACAAGGTTAAACTACCTTCCTCAAGGAGATTTTCTGAAAAGGATGGTGACAGTTCTGATCACCCCAGGCCGTGTAAACTTGCCTCTCATTTTCCTTGTAGCTGCCCCCACAGGAACATGGGGACATCATTTTTCATACTTTGCCCATAGAAATAAACCTGACCCTATCTGTGAACAAAGGTAAAGTATAGTAGATTTAGTGCATTTTCAACTATTGTGCTATAGAACAATTTGGTTTAAGAAGGTTTTCAGTATTTGATACTAAGTTTTTCAATAGCTTAACCTGTCTTTCTGAATCCTGCTAATTTCTTTTTCAGCGATCTAAAAATATTTTATCTGTTAATGGAAGTAAAATATTCCACAGAATATAAATTCCCATGTGTCTAGAAACCAACAGTTTACTCTCTCATGGGTTCTGCATGTTGACCGCTTTCTTGTTTGTTTCTTCAGTTTTGACACAATAAAGCTGTGGCTAGAGGAGCTACCCTTTAACAAGATCCTTCACTTTCCTTGTATTGCAGCGGTAGCACCCCCACCAGGTGGAGGAGTAGTAATGATGCAGCTAAATATACCTAACAATCCCCAGCCCCGACCCCACTCACCTCCGCAGTGGAAGCAGAATAAATATTATTGTGACCATCAAAGGGGACAGAAATCTACAGAGTTTAGCACTTTAGACAGTGCTGCACAGGTATGGGTTTTTTTTTCCCTCTGGGAGAATTTGTCATGAATCTTGTATCTAAAAAGAAAGGAATCAGTTTTGGGGAGGAACAAAACAAACCTATTTCAGCAGTGCTCACAAATAGTTATATTACATTTATTGTTTCATGACTTAAATATTGTAAATATCATGTAGTATATTCAGGTAAATATATTTAAAACACTTGTGAGAGCCAAATACACTTACTTATGTATAACATTTATTCCAGTTACAGCATAGTCCTCAACTAGGTAGTCCTGTCACCTCACCAGCCCAATCACCAGCACCAGCTCAGCTATCAAATCTGAAAAACATCCGTCCCACGTTAACACCTCTTTCTATTGTGCCCCAGTTTTCTAGACCTTTTGTCCCTGGACCAGGTAAGGCTTTCACTGTATAACTCATAAAGATGTACTTAATTTTTCCAGATGATCATGCATAAATATTTTGTTTTATGGGAGCAAGTTGTGATCAAATAAAAAGTGATCATTTTTTGGCTAGTGTGTTCAAAAACTCTATTCCTTGAATGTCATAAGAATTAATACTACCCTTTTGCACCCGAGTCCCTCCCCTTGCCTCAAAAGAACAAACTATCTTTCAGCAGTGCAGAATTTATAATTGAAATAGTTTTGTGTAATGTTAATGAAATATATTTCAAACATTTATTTTAAGTTTTGAACTGAAAATAGACATTTAAATATCAAATAAAAGTAGGCTTATGGTACTAATGGTAGCATTAGAAAAGATCATCTAGTCCTACATGCCCATGTACTGCAGTTGATGGGTTTGATGTGGTCAGTAAACAAGGTGGATCTTAATCCTACAATTCTGCTTTCTACTAAACTCTTTATTCTCTATTCTTCCTTTATTGATTACAATGTAAGTAGTAGTTTGATCACTAGATTAAGTCTTTGTAACACAATGAGACTATGGCCTCTGCATTATAACAGTAGTGCTGCTACTTGCAAAGTATGACACTTGATGTACAGCTATGAGAGTGATATCCCATTATTGTATTTGTCTGGCCACAGAGAGCAAGCCATGCTATCCCTCTCTGCTGACCCCTGTCCTAGCACAATAATAGAGCTAGGAATAAGGAAGGCCAACACTCTGACCTGGCTGCCCTTCTCCTCTTGCCATATTGCCTTCAACCTTCCACCGAGGTTAGTCTTACCTTGGTCCTAGGGAAGCTCTTCGAGAAAATTATCCAGGAGCACATCTGCGAGGGACCAGCAGGGGAGTGTATGGTTAGGAGCAACTAACATGGGTTGATCAGAGGCAGGTCCTCTCAGACCAACCTGGTGGCCTTCTATCATCAGATCACTAAATCCTTGGACGTAGGCGTTGCGGTGGACATAGTCTTTCTGGAATTTAGAAAAGCCTTCGACACTCTCTCACCCCATTCTCATTAAAAAAATTAGGCGACTGTGGTATCGATCCCTACGCGGTCAGATGGGTCACCAATTGGCTGGAGGGCCATACCCAAAGAGTGGTGGTGGACGGGTCTTTTCCAGCCTGGAAGGATGTGGGCAGTGGGGTCCCCCAGGCCTGCGCTATTCAACATCTTCATCAGTGACTTGGACAAGGGGCTGAATAGCACCTTGTTTGAATTCACAGATGACACTAAGATGTAGAGGGAGGTGGGCACGCTAGAGGGGAGGGACAAGCTGCAATCAGTTCTGGACAGGTTACAGAGGTGGGCGGATGAGAATAAGATGGGTTTCAACACTGACAAATGCAAGGTGCTGCACTTGGGGAGGAAGAACCAGCACCATACCTACAGGCTGGGGAACTCCCTTCTCGCCAGCACAGAGGCAGAAAAAGATCTTGGAGTCTTTATTGACTCCAAGATGAACATGGGCTGGCAGTGTGGGGATGCAGTCAGAAAGGCCAACTGTACCTTGTCATACATCCACAAATGCATCACGAGCAGGTCCAAGGAGGTGATCCTCCCCATCTGTGCAACATTGGTCAGGCTGTGACTGGAGTACTGCATCCAGTTCTGGGCACCGCACTTCAGGAGGGATGTGGACAACATGGAGAGGGTCCAGACGAGAGCCACTCGCGTGATCAGGGGGCAGCAGGGCAGGCCTTACAAGGTGAGGCTACGGGACCTGAACCTGTTCAGCCTCCACAAGAGAAGGCTGAGGGGGGATCTAGTGGCCTGTTACAAACTAGTCAGAGGGGACCAGCAGGCACTGGGGGGTCCCTGTTCCCATGAGCACTACCAGGAGCGACCAGGAATAATGGTCACAAGCTGGCAGAGGGTAGATTCAGGCTAGATATCAGGAGGCGCTACTTCACTGTCAGGGCAACTAGGATCTGGAACCAACTTCCAAGAGAAGTGGTGCTGGCTCCTACCCTGGGGGTCTTTAAGAGGAGGCTGGATGAACAGCTTGCTGGAGTCGTTTGACCCCAGTACTCTTTCCTGCCATGGCAGGGGGTTGGACTAGATGATCTACTCAGGTCCCTTCCGACGCTAGAAACTATGAAACTATGTAGAGGCTGCTGGCATGCGTTAATTAACACGCTTCAGCAGACTCAATTAATTGCTGCGCTGTAATTACTTATTACAAAGATACTAGAGATGCTGCTGCTACATTGTAAATGAAGGGTAGAATGCAGTTCTCCTATTTTATTTCAATGTGTTTTGGTATATGGAAAAATACATCAAAATACTATATGGTAAAATCCATAGCCTTCTTTTCAGAAATAAATCGTAGTTTCCCTAGTAAATTTGGTCGTTTTGTTAATTATTTCAGAAATTTTTTTTTGACTGCCCACTGTGAATCTTGCCTCAGCTTTCTTAACCTCTCTCATAATTGTACATATTTCTGTTCAGTCATCTTATGGGTTCTCCCAGTGGGTGGAGATGCAAGATGCAACTCTTCTTGAGTAATGCTGGGCACTGCAACAAGAACTTTAACCTCATTGAAAATTCTTTGAGATTTGAATCTAAATGAGACTCTGGCAGCCTCAAACTAAAAAACATACTTTTTAAAATATCCATTTTAAATGCAAAGAACCCTGGGTTTATGATTTCTCAACTTCATAGTTTGTATAAATTGATTTATGGTTTCCATATGCAATTACCGTAATCAGGAAATTCTTTAAATGCCTCTTTCCTCAGTTTATATATAATACCTCACTTTACTTTGTTTATCTTATTTGTGAGGTGTAGACTCTCGTTGTTAGAGATTTTATACTAAGCAAGACAAAGTCTTAAAACCTTTTCCTTGTTTTCAGGAGATGCCAGATACCCATTGCTCGGCCAGCCATTGCAATACAACCCTCCACCATTGTTACATGGGCAAGTAACAGGCCAACAGGTAGGAAAAGCCAGCACTTAGTAAACTGCAAATTGTAATACAAGGCTGCAGCAATAATAAACCACAATGAGAGCAATATACTTTTGCTCTGGAACTGTATCTGCTTTCGACATCAATTTTTATTCCAGATTGTTACCTTGTCCCTGGCTCCCATCATTCTCATTTACTACAGAAATACAGAGCAGCATTCTCAGGAATGTAGCACTGTTACTCCTGGTAAATAAAGCTTTCCCAAGGTGGAAACTAAGGCTGGGTCAGTAACCTTTTTTTTTTTTGGTTTCCAGCAGTTCCAAAATCAAAAAAAGAGTTAAATTTTTGAGGAACTTTGCAGTTAGAATTCATTTCATGGATGTTTCAGACTTTTTAAGAATAAAATTGAAGGATGTTTCTAAACAAAATGTTGCTTTTAATTTGAAAAAAAGTGATGTATGTATCAAATTCAGAAAAATTTAAATGAAACAACTTGGTGAAACCTACACAAGTTTGTGGGACACTTTGAGGTTGTCAAATCTGTGGGGGGGGTTTGCTTTAAAAATGTTTAGGCAAAAAAAAAAATTGCCCAGCTTTAGCTGCAGGAAGATGGAAGAGTCACTGCAAAAATTGCAAGAGGCTTTTCTGCCCTTCCCTGACTTTTGCCTTTGCCTGAGGACTGTGTGTTTGGTCACAGTATTGGTAGGACCCAGGAATAAAATGGGACCTAGAAATCTGCTCCTTTCCACTACCACCAAAGCTGGAGTTGGAACTACAGGGTCTCCAGGACGCCCCATCCTAAATTGATATTTGTCTTAATGTCACAAAAATGAGGATTTCTTAGGATATCCTTTTTGAATCAACTGCATAGTTGGAATAGTTAGACAGGCTTTCAAATGCAAAATATTTTTCATCAGGTCACCTGATCCACCTGATAAAGAATGTCTTGCATTCAAAAGCTTGTCTAACTATATCCCAGTTGTGCAGTTAGTTGAATAAAAGGTACTACCATAAGAAATCTTTGTTTCACGTAACTCCTGGACCATCACAGCTACAGCATCACTCTAACCTGTCATAAATATGTCATTTCTCTAACCAAGTGATGCATGTCTGACTTCGCAGTGTCAACCTGGAAATAGGCATGGAAATAGAGGAAAGAAACCAGCAAAGAAGGCGGCCTCAGCAGATCTTGGTGCAGGGGAACCAGGTATGTAGTTGTTGGGTGGGACTGCATTCTGGTAGATCTTTTAAATGAAAATTGAAGCATTGAGAATGTATTTATCTCATACACTTATTGTATTATTTCAACCTGTGTGGGGGAATTGGAGCTGTCTGAAATTTGATTGGGAATTGAATTTACAGAAGGGAGGTAAGGATATAAGTGGGTGCTTCTGCATGGAGTCCAGGAGAGTAGAGGGTGCCTTTGGTGGGGCTGTATATTTGTGCAGGATGGTTGGGAAGGTTGTAGGACAGTGGAGGTTGTTTGGGGCCATGGGGATTTCAACTAAATGGTAAAGGCATGACTGTAAGGGTGAAGTATTTGAGGAATATCCATGTTGAGTGCAGAAAGATAGTGTAGAGGGTTCCTTTTAGGAGGATTTGTTATTGAGCTCAGGGTGCCGTAAGTGAAGGATAAATGGAAGGAAGATGAGAATGAGTAGTGACAGGGCAAAAAGGCGGAAGGCAAACATGGGAAAAGTTAGGGATGAAGGAAAAGAATATATTAATAAAAAAGTAAAGGAAAGAGTGAGAGAATGAGAATAAAAGTTCACAGTAGATAGGGAAAAATAGAAAGGACAGGGAAAACCAAAATCAGAGGGAAGGCAGTTAGTTTTCTTAATACATAATGGTTCATAGGATCATCAGAAAGTAGAGCTGGAAAGAACCTCACAAGGTCATCTAGTCCAACCCCCTGCTCAAGGCAGGTTATTCCTGACTAAACCAACCCTAGCTAGCTCTTTCAGTCATTCCTGATAAGCCACAGTTCCTGGGCCTCTAATCATTTTTGTTGCTCTAGACTGGACTCTTTCCAATCTGTTCACATGTTTCTTGAAGTGTGGCTTGCAAATCTGGACACAGTACTCCAGAAGAGGCCTTATCAATGCTCAGTAGAGTACAAGAATTACATCCCTTGATTTGCAAGTGACACTCCTGTTAATACAGCGCAGTTTTATGTTGGCTTTTTTTGAAGCAGGAGCACACTGTTGAGTCCTGTTCATTTTATAGTCTACTGTAATCCCCAGGTCCTCTGCAGTACTAGCAATCTAGCCAGTCATTCTGCCAGTATTTGTGCATGTAGTTATTTCATCTTGAGTGCGGGACTTTGCCCTTGTCCTTGTTGAATCTCACTTCATTGATTGCAGACCCCTTTTTTCAGTCTCTCCAAGTTATTCTGGATCCTAGCCTTGCTCTCCACAGTGTCTGCAACTCCACCCAGCTTGGTATCATCTGCAAATTTGCTAAGTGTGCATTTGATCCCTTCATCCAAATCATTCATGAAGGTATTAAACAATACTGGACCCAGAACAGAACCCTGAAAAAACCCACTTGATAACTAGACACTGAGCCACTGAAGACTACTTGCTGAGTATGATGATCCAACCAGCTATGTATCCACCTTGCAGTACTTATCTGGTCTGTATTTCCTTAGCTTGTTAATGAGAATGTTGTGGAAGACAGTGTTGGAAGCCTTAGAATCATAGAAAGTTAAGGTTGAAAGGGACTTCAGGAGGTCATCTAGTCCAAAGTCTTTCCTGGCCAAGTGCAGGGGGGCTGGACCTGATGATCTGTATGGTCCCTTCCAGCCCCTAACATCTATGAAACTATGAAAACCCCTGCTCAAAGCAGGATCATCCTCAACTAAATCATCCCAGCCAAAGTTTTGTGTAGCCGAGTCTTGAAACCTCCAAGAATGGAGATTCAGCCACCTCTCTGGGTAACCTGTTCCAGTATTTTACTACCCTCCTAGTGAGAACTTTCTTCCTAATAGCTAATCTAAACTTCCCTTGCTGCAACTTGAGACCATTGCTCCTTATTCTGTTATCTGCCACCTCTTGGAACAGTTTAGCTCCATCCTGTTTGGAACCCAGCTTCAGGTAGTTGAAGGCTGCTATTAAGTCTCCCTTCAGTCTCCCCTTCCCTAGACTAAATAAGCCAAGTTCCCTCCATCTGTCCTCAGAAATCATGTCTCCCAGCCCCCTCACCATTTTTGTTGTCCTCCACTGGACTCGCTCCAATATCTCCACATCCTTTCTGTAGCAGGGGCGCCCAAAACTGAACACACTATTCCAGCCTTGCTAAAGTCAAGGTATATTACATCCATGGCTTCCATCCACAGAGTCTGTTGCCTTCTTATAGAAGGAAGTCAAGTTGATCGGGCCTGACTTTCTTTTGGTGTCCATGCTGGCTGTTTCTGACCACCTTGTTGTCCTCTAGTTGCTTTACAGTAGATTTCTTGAGAACCTGCTCCATGATCCTTCCAGGTATAATGGACTGGTCTGTAATTTCCAGATCCTCCTCTTTCCCTTTCTTAAGATGGGTACTCTATTTGCCCATTTCCAGTGCCTCCCCTGACCTTCATGAGTTCTCAAAGTGGATAGCCTGTGGCTCTGAAATTACCTCTGCCAATTCCTTCAGTACCTCTGGGTGCATCCTGTGTGGCCTGACTGACTTGAAAACATCTAGCTTCTCTGAGTAATCCCTAACCTGTTCTGCCACTACTCTAAGCTGTTTTGGCTCCTTCCCTATCTTTGTTGCCAAATACATTCATCACTGGTAGCTGCCCCTGTTTGTGAGATTGAAGTAAAAGAGACATTAAATACTTTAGCCTGCAACTAGATTGACTTCCGCATTTTTAAGAGACCTGTGGTTTATTTGGCCTTCTTCTTACTTCTGACATACTTGTAGAATCTTTCTTGCCTTTTATGTCTGTTGAGTCACATCTCCAGTTGTGCCTTAGCCTTCCTAAAGTTTTCCCTACATGCCTGTATGATACTTTTATACTCTTCCCACGTACCATGACCAAATTTCCACTTTTTACAGATTCATTTTTTGAGTTTAACACATGGAAGAGATCACTGTCTAGCATTTGGGATATGACCTCCATATTTGTGAGCAGCAAATTGAGAAGAGCTTCACCCCCACTGATATCATCTGTATCAAAATGTTATCCCCAACACTCCGAGAATTTGCTGTTAGTTAGTAACAAAACACTTTTAAATTATATAAACTTTTTCATCAAGTGACTGTCTAGATGCATATTTTTTCTGCATGAATGTACAGTTGTATCTCAAGCAAGCATTTAAAGGCTTTTTGCGTTAGCAATACCTGTTGCCCTTGCTTCCTTATGGCCTGTCCACAGGGACTTAGAGCAACATACACTTTCTGCTTCTTGGTTCCTCTCAACTACTTTTGTTATGAGTGGAGATTCTTTTTGTCAGAGGTGCTTAAGGATCTAAGTTTTTGTCCCTAAGTAAGATTCCATCTCAACTAATGTATCAACTTGGTGGAGTTTTTTCCAAGATTTTATTCCTCTTGAGCTGAGAGATCCCTGTGTTCACTTAATGGAGAAGGACAGAACCCATGTCATATGCACAGGACTTTCTGAAAGCATCCACAGCTACTTGTTTCCTTAGCTGAGTGATCTAATAGCCCCATGTGCTGCACACAGCACCTGCTCCAGCTTGCATCTTGGAGTGTCCACTGTGCAGCACAGTGGTGGAGCAACCTCGTGGTATTCTGGAGCCATACTACACTCCGTGGAGACTCTGGGGCCGTGCAGTGAAGACCTGGAGTGGCCACAGCGCACTCTGGCCACTCCACAGCTCACACTGAAGTGTGGAATCAGTTTCTCCATCCAGTCCAACCCGTAGTCTGGGCCCATGTTGTTCATCTAGCTCGTGGGGCTGAATGACTACCATCCTGACCTAGGGGATTCTGGTACCCACTTCCAAGTGCACAGCTGCTGTTTTGGAGTCACCCACAGTGAGTATGTACATATGAGCCATCATTCAAAGGAAGAAGATAAATTACCTATTGCTTTCTCCGGATGGGTTGTCCATCTGTATGTTTTCCTCCATCTTCATCCTTGGAGTCACATGTACTATGTGACTCTACAATGGAAAGAAAACTGAGGAACGGAAAATACTTGCTGCCTTTTTGTCCCCTTGAAGCGGGCCCAAGGAGAAAGAGGGCTGAGTACTGCATAGGCAAAGTGTGATCCAGTAACAGCATCATATGAACAGCCATCATTTCCCTCAGCTTAACAGATCTGTGAATATTTTACTAGGGCTTTCCAGCTCCTAAGCGGCTTGGGACCTCTGGTCCCCCAGCCACACACTGCACAAACCACACACAATCTAGGCAAGTGTCACATGGGCCTCACTCTGCACTGTGTAACCTCCTGCCTCCCATGCCATGCCACATGGGCTGCTGATATGCCACACGACCCCCCCAGAATGGAAGCTTGGGTGGTGGGGGTGGGGAGGAACCCATGGACTTGGACATCAGAACAAACAGGAGAGCAGCACCTGGACCAATGGCCTTGTGCAGCTTGTGGGCCACCAGTTAGACAGTGCTGTTTTATATGAACTAAATTTATTTCCAGGTCATGTGAGTTTTATCCTGACATAAAGCAGCACATAGTATCTCTTGGGCCGTTAAGTCTGCTGTGTCACAAAGGTGTGTAACCTTTTGCCACACCAGGGTCTGGAGCCAACTTTTACTACCTAGTAAACAAGGAAACCTGACACATCCCTGCTTCTGTAGCAAGCGTGACATGCAGAACTACTTCTGGCTGGGATGGCTTGGAAAAATAATTTAAGCCACTCAGCTTACCCATCCTTGAAATGGGTACTATAAGGTATATCTGTTGTAAATAATTGTGAGATGAGACATTCTGTTGTGATGGCAAAAAATGATGTGTGCATGACTTCTTGTCTCTGCAGAGTGGTTAAGTTCAAAGGGAGGCTAGGTTCCTTTCACTGCTTTTTCTTAGAAAGTGCCCCTCATGGCAGCAGCAGGCTAAAGCCATGCTTTACCATAAGAAATTTTATATTTCTCTGAGTAAAGGGTGCCCAGTCCTCCTCCATTGTCTCCACGTTTTTATTACACCCACATTGCTTGTTGCAGGCAACAGGCGAGTCAGGTGTCAGCCTGAGGTCTCTGACCAAAATTAAAGGCTTGTTTACAAATGTTTTGAAATAAAGTGCAGTTGTTTAACTTAAGAGTTTTTCTTCTTGTTTCAGTTGTTGGAAAAGTCTTAGAAATTACTGAACTGCCGGACGGAATAACTCGTATGGAAGCTGAAAAATTATTTGGAGAACTTTGTAAAGTTGGTGCCAAGATTCGGTGGCTAAGGGATCCCCAGTGTCTACAGACACAGCAGCAACATCACCGTCATTACTGTGGCAGTGGAGATAGTAATGTGAACGCTGAACCCTCCAAACCTAGTGACTTGGCTTCCACATACACAGTTCTAGCTACGTTCCCTACAATGTCAGCAGCTCAAAATGCTTTGAAGAAACAAAGTAACTCAGTTAACAAGTTTAGGCTGAGAACAAGCAAGAAGCACTACGACTTTCGTGTTCTGGAAAGGGCTAGTTCCCAGTAGCAGCTACATCATTGGACATTCAGCCTTTATTACTTCCACGTCCTTCTCTCCTCTACTTGATTGGCTTGATATTATAGGGTTTCTGTTCCCTTCCTAAAGACTCCTGGGATGTATTGTCACATGACATTGTAGCCTTTGGGGAAAAAAAAACCCAGTGATCCAGCAAGAAGAAGAAAAAAAATGCATTTAATCCCAGGCGACTGTAAGAACCCATTCTGACATATGGAGAGGCAGCTTTCTATAAAGGATGCTGTTATAATGCCCCTCACTTTTATAATAGTTTTGTTTTATATTTCTGAATTCTTGTATTGGATCCAAAGCTCTATTGTACAGGAAACTTTTGTTCATAACGAATACCCAAGCTCAGATCTGTATTTTGTAATCCCTTTTCACAGCCAGCACACAGCTATCCATTTTAGGACAGGGGTTAGGGTGGGGGGAAAGGAGAGGAACTGTTAAGGAATTGCACTCTATTTTCTAGCTAACTACCCAAAAGTCTCAAGTTATCTATTCCTCTTCCTTGTATTTCTTACTAAAAAAATCACTAAGTACTACTAACCTCCTTAGACGGTCCTTTCCTTTTGAGATTTATTTAGACAGCGTCAAAGAAAATTACAAATAAATTTATATTCTTGAATGACTCATTTCTGATCAAACAGGTTAGTGTGAGTATTAAAGGGGAATATGAACGAACTATGAAGAATGTTCATTGTATCCCATTTGTTTTTAGGAAAATGGTGAAGAAACTAAAATGCATCTTCCCAAATGACAAAATGTTTGCACTTTAATTGTGTTCCCACCAGATGGATCTTTTTCTTTTCACTCTAAGATAATTGCATTCAGTAAGTGCTGGAAACTTCTTAAATGGTTTAAATATGTTTGCATATTTGCAGAGGATCACTGGACATCAAAAGATACATTGCACATACAAACACCCTTTTTCAATTTCTGTGTATTTGCAAGGCTGTACAATGTGTGCTGATGCAAGCCTTTTTTCAGTTCAAGAAAATAAATGTTTACAAATACAAACTTCTTCTAGTGCACTTGTTTCAACTATTGACCTGTATGAACCTGAGTAAATCTGTATTGATTAGATAGCTACCTTTTCAAACATGAGAAAAGACTGCAGAATGGTATAATTATTAGAATTTTTTTTCAAGACCCACCATCTCTGTTCCTTTTGTTGAAGTACCTTTAACTTTTATGGCATTTGAAAATTGTATTTATATCTGTCTAGAAAAGGAAAAAGGAAGAAATTATTAGAGTTAGACTCCAGAAACTCAGGTACTAACTTGCTATGTAAAAAAGTCACTTAATGATTTTGTCCTTTGCTCTGCTTACAGGTGGTGTATAACTTTTTTAAACATACAGATCTCATTTTCACAAGCCTGAAAGTCAAAATTAGGGTAATACTTGTTTTTCATTTTTATTTTATTTTTAGAGTAAAAATGAAGAATTTATAGTGCCAAAAAGCCTCAACTCTAACCCTATAACACAGAAATCAGAGCCATACACTGGTGCCCCCATAACTGCAGTCACACATAGACAGAGCAGCACATACATTTATAGTTAAGATCAACGCTAAGAAATGGAAAAGGCCTGGCTCATTAAAAAACCACCATAGTTTACTGGATTAGACATAAGAGGCTTGAGTCTACAATGTATTTTGTTGGGACCACTCATGCTCAAAATTAAGTCTGCGCACAAGTATTTGCTGGAGTGGAGTCAGATTGTACAGCCAAACCAGAACTGCAAACCAGAGTAGTGCATTAATTGCTGTCTGCGTTACCAAAAGGTATGCTGCTTGGATGAAGATCCTGATTACAAGTCTAGATCTTATCACTTCTAGTTGGACTACTGACAGTGTCAAAGCCTGTGAAGGTAATACTAACTCCAGGATCATATGCTGCTATTGACCAATAGAATATAATTCTCCTCTTTAACTGATGAAATAGAAAATGCGTCACACCAGTTGACTACGCTCATAACTGCCTCCCGCCGTTTTCCCCTACAAGCTCAAGCCTCTAGACTTAGTGGCCAACAAAACGGCTGCCTCCTGTGGCTTACAAAATCTAGGACAAAGATGAAAGTTGTATCTGTATCCAAGAGCTTCCCTCTTTGGAATAACCTACCAGAGAAGTTAAGACTGAGATCAAGTCCAACCACTTTAATACTGCCAATTTTCCTGCTCAAAAAATTTGTCATGCTGCTAAATTTGCTTCTCACAGAGCTTTCTTGCAATAACTGAAGGAGGAGGGGGAAGCATGGAGAAAACAGTACAGGGAGAAAAGCGCGCACACTGAACAAAGTAGATCAATCTTAATTATTACTTTCTATTTTAATATATATTATTTTATAACTTATCAGCCACTCAAGTAATGGATTCCCTAAAACTACTTAAGTTGGGATCTATTACTTATTTTGCCACTTACTTCCTGCAAGACACTTAACCTGTCTGAGCCTCTTTTCCTCACAGTGAAAAAGGGAAAGTTGTTTTCCAACATGTTTGCTGCAAGTACTTATTTCAAAAAATACGTAAAAGTGCACAGCTGGGAAGGGTTGTTAGTAGCAAAGTTAAGCATAAACCTCCAAATTTTTTGCCTTACAGTGTTGTGTTTATTCTTTTTAACATCAACCTCTCTGGCATTCAGTTGCCAATGTAAATAATATAATTAGTGGAGTTTGGAAGAAATCAGTTTATGATTTGTTTAGGAAAAGCCTTACCAGACCCTTCCCTCCACCTGTATAGTCCTCCCCACATCTGAGACGAGGTCTGCTTTCCAGTCCCTGAAATGCTTAATTTTTAAGATTTGATGCACATCTTAGGGGAAAAAAACTTGTTACAGCATAGCAGACACTCTATATACTATTAATCATATGCTGCTATTGTTCAAAGGAAGGTTTAAAGTGATAATATAGGTTAGGGTATGATGATGGCTTATGAACATGACAGAGGTAGGATATCTGATTTATGACTAAGAGATGAAGGGATGTACAACTGGTCCAGTAAGACAGAGCTGGTTTCAGCCCTGTCTATGAAGAGACTCCTGTTTCTGCATAGTATTTTTCTAACATATAAAAAGTGTCTATCACCTCCCAGCACTTCCACATATTGTATAATCGCATATTAGAATCTGTTTTGTTTTGTGCATGTCCTGAAAAGACACTTTGTTAGTTCAAGTCGTAACCCCTACACACTGCTTTGTGAGTATGCACAAGAAGATTCATGTGGAAGATCCTAACGGCACATATGAGGATTCTACTCAGGACCCTCAAAGTATCTGAGAGATAGCTGGCTGTGTTCTCAAGTTTTCCATGCTACAGTAAGCAGACTGGATTTCTGGACAAAGATCAAGTCAACTTTGAAAAGAATAGCTTTCTTGACTAGCTGACAGGGATTTCTGTCCATAATCTCTAAGGAAGGAAGGAAGGACAGCACTGTGCTGTACCAGATGCTGCAAAAATGTTCAGTTTCTGAGAGTTTCTAGGACATTTGAGAACGGTACAGGGCTTCTGCAACATGGAGGCATGGAGATTCAAATTTCAAGCCATGAGTCAAGCAATGGCATCATGCACGTGAGAACTTAATCCTATCAAAATGAGAAAAGAATCAATTGTGCTGGATGAAACTGGGCAACATACCACTTTCTAAAAAGCTTCTCTTTCATTTGTGCTATAAACAAACTGATCTGTGCCTTTGTCACTTGGTATAATACAAGCCATGTTTCTCCCAAAATGGAATCGCAAAGTGTTTTCATATTTCTATACTCATTTGTGCCTTAAAATGTCATGGCTATTGTGTAGGTTGGTATTGGATGTGCTGTTTGCTTCAAGTTAATTCCCCCTCCCCTCCAAAAAACTTTTTTGCTTGTAGTTTTCCATGGATGTTGTAGGCTTATGTACAACTAAGATTGCAATTAACTTCTATTACAGTCTCACTGTAGCGCCACCCTCCTGTAATTTTTGTTTAGAAAATTGGTTGCCTAGAAATTAATGCATTTACCCTTGAGGCAAAGGAGGATGTTTATGTAAAGCTTGAAAAAAGTTGGCCAAGCCGTTTTTCTGCTACAGGTCATTGAAAATATCCTGATAGAAATTTTGTAGGTTTTTTTGTCACCTGCTCAGAAAGGGACATATTATGTGCCCTACAGTGTTTCACAGTTAAGTCAGCCTGAATGTTGATGTCCTGACTGTACTGGAAGAAAATTCTTTGTGGCGAAGCAAAAACTATTTGGTATCAGATAATCATGGGTAATTATTAGTTTCCTCTCATTGCATCCATAAAAAGCAATCCTAATCCCATTACATCAGTCAGAGACTTTGGCCGTAGATTTCAGTAGATTAGTATCAGGCAGGAGGACCAAATTAAAAAAAAAAAAAAGACAAATTTTGAGGGATGTCTAAGCGTTCAGCACTTTCTGAAAATGAAGTCCTTTTATTTCTTAATGGGTATCTGGGGTCATTGGTCACCTCCGAAAATCTTGGTCTCTTTGCCTATGTGACTGACACCCTTTTTCAACTGGAAGAAAACTAAAACTATTGTGATAATCCTTTTATAGCTACCAAGTATCTTCTTTTGGGTCAAGTAGTAAAACCACATACGCGTAGAGTTGTAAGACCAGTTTTACTCCTAAAGCTAGATTTGTGGTTTAATATGGAGAGGTGGTAGCCTCATAGTAATAAAGGCTTGTTTTGGTCCTCCTAGTAGTTCCTTGACTTTTCTGGCCCTGTTTGCTTATTAATATTCCTTGGGTTGGGACTGTTTTTGCTTTGTTCCTAGAGATATTCGAAAGCATGGAAGTGCACAGTTTGATACAGGAAATGAGTACATTTTAGTCTCAGTTTTTTCCTTTTATCAGTTGTACTGGTAATGAATACTTGAACATAGTGACTGTGAGATGCATGCAACTGTATTGAATTGTTTATGCACTGCTGAAGAGAGTTTGAATGTCAGATGAGACTAGCGCTGTAAACCAAAGACACAGGAAAAGCTGTATGTTGTTGATAGTCGTGTGCGCTTCAAAATTGGTCAAAAGTATAAAAATAAACTACGCTGAGTCAAATAACATTGTGTGTAATAATTAATATCCAGGTTTGTTTTTCATTCCCAAGCCCTGAGCAGCTTACAACTCTGAGTTAAAGAGAAAACACAATAATGAGAAAATGCCAGGAAACTTTCAGTACTTCTGCATGCAGGAGAGAGGGAAAGATTGATAGTTTCTGGAAAGCAGACTGATCTCAACATGAGGAGCTTGTAATTGCATCCATAATGATGTGCAATTGATTTCACATCATTATGTTAACATCAATATAAGGAAGGAGCAATATTGTGTACTGCTATATTACGCAGCAGAAAATGTCATGCTAATTAGGTTAAGCGTTTGAGATGAGTAGGAGATTGGAGAGGGGCATCATTTTGACTTGAATCCTAATTTAATCACAGGAACTTTGTCTGGGGTTGTGATGACACCAAGTTGTGGCCGGAACTAGCCTCCTTGAGGCTGGGTTTTATTTGGGGGTGGTTTTTAGCTGTCCTTTCTTCTTCCTCCTCGACTAAAGCTTCAGGTAGGTATGCATGTCCTATCACCGTCAGGCAGGTGCTGTAGGTGTGACTTTAGCCTGCTGTAAGCCAGTGTCTGATTTAGGCAGAAATCGCAACAGGAGCAAGTGGCCTTCTTGTGGCAACCTGCATCTGTCCTGATCTGCTGCCCCATGCTCCTGCCTTTGGCTCAAGAAGTTTGTTCGAAGCGATCAGCAAAACGTTGCCCCTCTGCTTCTCTTCAAGTGAACCTCATGAGGGCACTGAGAGACCAGCCCAGCTCACTCGGAGTAGCTTTGCCCCCACGTGGAGGTCGGCGCATGTCCTTGGGCCCTACTCCACTTCAAATTAAAACTGGCGAGAAACCAGCTGTAGGCTCCTCACACGTTTTCAAGCTGGTTGTGTTATAGTCCGAGACTCCCTCCTAGCCTGGGACGGTTATGTAGCATGCGTGGCCTGCCTGCATTTATTGCACGATTGGCGACTGAAT